GAGGCTAAGGTAGGAGGATCACTTGATCCCAGGAGTTTGAGGTTGCTGTGAGCTAGGCTGATGCCACAGCACTCTAGCGTGGGCAACAGAGTGAGAGTCTGTCTCTTTAATAATAAAAAAAAAAGATCTCAGGAGATGGCAGTTGGTAGCCAAGTTTGATAACCTCTGCTTTGATATGGAGCTGACAAGGTGTAATGGTATTTTCACATTTCACATTTATAATCCTGACAGCTGCTAGCAGTACAGAATGCTTTGCGTGTATCATCCCCATATCTATACCTCTACCCTCTGGAGCTAGGGTTGCTGTTTGGTGGGAGGAGGAGCTCATCAGGGGGCTCCCTTTGGAAGCACAGGTGGTTGGTTGATCCTGGGCTCTGGTGGAGACAGCTTGATTTCAGCAATATAATTTAGGCCCCCAAGCAGATTATGCATTGGATAGCCCCCAGCGAGCACTCTGTGTACACGTTCTCATCTGGCATCACTTTTGTTTTGTGGAATTGGGGCCTGTATTGACCCAGGTGACCTATGAACATTGCTTGTCTCCTCACTAGGTCATTTGGATCATCTTTTACACTGCCATCCACTATGACTGATGGTATACAGCTCCCACCTGCTCCCTGTCCAGTCCAAAGGACCCTCTTAATTACAGCACAGAAGCGTGATTGTTGGGGCATCCCAGCCCCTTGGAACCTGAAAGACCCGTGTTGCCTGGACCGTGAATCAGTGTGTTGGACATCAGTGTTTCTGCAAGGATTGTGACCTGAAACTTTTTGAAGAACCCTCACCTTTGGGGGAAGCATTTCCGAATTTGTCCATCACCCACCATTTCTTCTTGGATACCATCATGTAACAGCCATTCGCCAAGTGGAGCTGTCATTTAATTTGATGCACCTCTGGATTCGGATGAAACATTAAATTGTCTTCCTCGATTCTTCATCAAGTGTACAGTTTTTGTTTTTTTTGAGACAGAGTCTTACTCTGTTGCCTGGGCTAGAGTGCCATGGCATCAGCTTAGCTCACAGCAGACTCAGACTCCTGGGCTCAAGCGATCCTCCTGCCTCAGCCTCCCAAGTAGCTGGGACTACAGGCATGTACCACCATGCCCGGCTAATTTTTTTCTATATATTTTTAGTTGTCTGGCTAATTTCTGTTTTTAGTAGAGATGGGGTCTCGCTCTTGCTCAGGCTGGTCTCGAACTCCTGACCTTGAGCGATGCTCCCGCCTCAGCCTCCCAGAATGCTAGGATTACAGGCATGAGCCACCGCACCCGGCCCAAGTATTTCAAGTCTTCTGAAACAGTATGGCTGTATGTCCATGGTCCATAGCACAGTAAAAGCAGCACCTAATAAGAGTTTCCATTGTAGAATGTTTTCAGATACTTGAATAAATCAGATCTTTAATTGAGAACCTGTTGATGGTACCTGGTAAAACCTTTCCCACCCAGCCTGTAGCTTGAGAACCCAGTGGAAACCCTACAGGTGCTCTTTCTTTCTCTGCCTGCTCCCTTAGCAGCTCCAGCCAGCCCTCTTTCTCCTTACAGGCAGCAGGGGAATTCAAGGTTTGGAGTTGGTGCAGGCTGTGGCCTTGCTCTTGGCATTGTGGAAAGAAGGCTTACCACCTTCTGGTGCCCCTGGCCAGCACTGGGATAGGTGACTGGCCTCACTGCAGTGTGCTAGGCTTAGGAGGTGTCATTTTGCATTTGGCCACAAGGTGGCAAGGCCAGCATGGCTGGGAAAGCTTGGCCAGGTCTGAATGATGAGCCACAATATGAAATAGAGATCTGAGAGCTGTGGCTGTCCAGAGAAAGGGCTTGATGGGGAACATTTGAAGACCTGGACTATCAGAGGTCCTTCTCTTTGCTCTAGGGGTCAGGTGGAGGTTGGACAACCCAGGATCTGCTGTTGTGGTAAGCCATCTGTCCCCTCTACTTTCCTTCTAGGCCACAGTCCTACCTTCTAAGGTGGGTGAGACTTATCAATTTTCTTAAAATGATTTTTTCCTCTTCGATGTTAGGAGTTGTCTCTACCTTGTGGGTGGGGCTGGTCAACAGAGGGATATAGAATGGGACTCAACAGGCAGGGGATGAAGACGGTGCTGGGAGCCCCAAACTCAGGGGCTGACCAGGTTAGACCCCAGAGGAGGTTTAGTCTTTTTGGAGCCCTGGTCCTGTTCTCAACTGTCTGCATTCAGACTAGAGGTTGCAGGTGGCGTCATGGCACTGGAAGGAGGTAAGTGACTTCTTAGAGCCAAGAGAAGAAAGAGCAGAGGGTCTAGGTGGGACACTGGATGCACCTGTGTGTCCCAGGCCTCCCTCCCTCTGCACAGCCTTGTCTCTGGGATGCTCAGTCGGGTTGAGCTGAGTTGGGGTTCCAGGTGCTGCAGCCTTGGTTTCCCTTTCGGCCTGTGCTTTGGGCCTTGACATCGTCCAAAGACGTATCCTCAGTCAGGCTGATGTAGGAGCTGAGGGATTCCCGAAGACCCTCACTGAGAAGAGATGCCGCCCCTGTGGCAGACGCTTCAGAAAACAGGAAGGAGCTGTGGACAGGGGAACAGAGCTGGGTCAAGGAGCCTCTTCCTCCTCCCTGTGCTTCCCACACAGTGTGCTATTCTCAAAACCTATCTCCAAGTTGCTCCTGCTGAAAAACTCACAGGTTTTTCAGATCAACCCCCCTGACCATCACCTGCTGAGCCTGGGCTGGGCTATGGCGTTCAGTCAGTGCTCTCTGGCTCCCAGGCGTCCCTGAGCCGGCCAGGCCCATTCTGGGTTGTGGGTTCCCAGGGGTGGGTCCTTCTTACTCTTGGCTCCACCTTGATGTTTCCAGGAGTCTCCTTACCTGTCCAGCTCTTTCCAGTTGAGTGGTGGTGTCTGCACAGTCACAGGTAGGGGTATTTCCTTGCCAGGGAGTGGGCCAGCCCTCTGCAGGACACAGGGCTCCTTGAGGAGGCAGCAGATGTCATCCGCCAGCTCTGAGGAAGAGACCTAGACCCTCACATGGCTGACTCCAGCCCTGCTTCTCCCCAGCAACCCCTACCCTGACAGCTTTCCACACTTGGCAGGTGGGGGGAATGGTCACTAAAGAGTGATAGGACATGAGACCCAAGATGTTAGTTTCATGGAGGCTGAGATGCAGTCAGAGGTCATTCTGGGCTAAGTTTTGGGAGACTTAATTCGCTGTGTAATTTCAGGTAAGTTTATGCACCTCTTTGAGCCCTAGTTTCTGGTTATGAAGGTGCTTTGGGAAGAAGAAAGCTAAGGAATGCTCAGTCTGGACTTGTAACACTCAGTATTTACTTATGCAGGAGTGGCCCTGCAGAAAACCTCTGATCAGTTAGTTTTCCCAGGAGTGGTCTTCCCTCTCTGCCCTCCTGACTTCATCTTCTAGTACCTGTTAAAGTACGGGCACCAGGAAATGCTAAGAATCAGAACTGAATTCCGCACAGCACCAGCTCTGGGCCTAGTTCCTGGGGAGACACCTCTGCCTGCAGCTGGGGCTCTGAATCAGAACCAGACTGTACTGGCCCGGTGGACAAGGTACTACCCTGAGCTCACACAGGTCTGTGGCTTTGGCTTTTCTGTCAGGGCGTGGGATGAAGACGGGGCTACCCGCCTGCATTTCTTGGCACAGGGACTGGCATGAAGATAGGGGAGGCCCTCCTGTCTGGATGTTCTCTACCAGGTAAAATGTCTAAGGGCACAACTGTCTGTCCCCCCGACCCCAGACCCCTCATCCCAGTCTACTCTCATGGAGGCAAGGGAAGGCCGTACCAGAGTAATGGTCCACCAGAGCCTGGAGGGAGGGAAAGGTGAGGCGAGGTGAAATGTACAGCCAGCCATTGTCAAGACGCTGGATCCTGTAGTGTCTGATCCGGTCCCAGGATGCGGGGCGGCTGAGTCGGACGGACAGCGAGTAACAGCCTGAAGAAGAAGGGGTTCAGGGGTGGCACGGAGGCCCTGTTGGGATCCAGCCCGACCCAGGTTAAGGGAAGGAGGAGAAGAGACATGGCCACAGGGCCCAGGCAAAAGGGAAGTGTCTCGGGCAGGGGCAGGACAAAGACTTGCTGTCTTGGCCATAAATAACACGTTCATAATAGATGGGGCTCTTGTGAGGATGAAGTCAGGTCATGCACGCAATGCCCTCAGTACAGGGTCTGGCCCACTGTCAATGACCATGAAGCGTTGGCTGTTCTTACAAAGACTCAGGTGGCAGAAGTGTTAGAATGTGAAAAGATGTCGAGCAGATGTCAGCGAGGAGGTGGAGAAATAGGACCTCTCACCCTGCTGGTGGAAAGAGAAATAAGTGCAAGCCACTTTGGAAACAGTTTGGCATAAACTAGCTGAGTTGAACATGCACATACCTTACAACCTGGCAGTTCCATCCTAGGCATGTTACCTCAGAAACACAGACATGAATATTCACAGCAGCACAGTTTATAGAAGCCAAAACTGCAAACGGCCCATTTGTGCACAGTAGAGTAAATGGATTACAGAAGGCAATAATACACAACAGTAAAAATTAATAACTGCTACAGAAGCATAAATGAATCTTGGAAATAATGAGCAGAGGCAAGTCACGGAGCGTACGTTCAACAGGATTCTATTTGAAGTTCAAAGACAGCTAAGACCGTGTTACACAGGGATACATGTATGGCAAAGCTATGAAGAAAAGCAACTAAATGATTAACACTGAAGCATGTAAGAGGCTTCAAAGGGTTTGTTATTGCACAATTTCTTAAGTTGGCGAGTGAGTACATGGATGTTAGTTTTATTATTACTCTGACCTGTATATGTACATTATATATTAATACGCTGGTATATGTGACAGGATTTTTCCAGTTTGGCATTTTGTTCTAAGTATACTTTATGAGGTATAAATTTACATGTAATAAAATACACACATTTAAAGTGTACAGTTTGCTAGGTTTCAACAAAAAAATTTTTTTTAAATTTTTTTCTTAGAGACAAGTTCCTGCTTTGTCACCCAGGCAGAACTCCTGGGCTCAATCAAGTGATCCTCTTGCCTCAGCCTCCCAAGTAGCTAAGATCTCAGGTACGTGCCAGCATGCTTTTGATTAAAAATTAAAAAGGGCTGGTGGAGTAGCTCATGCCTGTAATTCTAGCACTTTGGGAGGCTGAGGCAGGAGGATCATTTGAGCCCAAGAGTTTGAGACCAGCCAGGGCAACTTGGCAAGACCCAGTCTCTACAAAAAATTAAAAAAAGAAAAAATTAGCAGTGCGTGGTGGTAAATGCCTATAGTCCCAGCTACTTGGGTGGCTGAGATAGGAGGATCACTTGAGGCCAGGAGTTCAAGGCAGCAGTGGGCTATGATTACGTCATTGCACTCTGAGCCTGGGGTGACTGCAAGATTCTGACTCAAAAAAAAAAAAAAAAAAAGAAAAGAAAAGAAAAACTGGCTAAAAGAGGAAAGCACATATTGAAAAATGAAGAGAGAAAAAAGACAATATGCAAAATCATATAACACACAGGCCTCCAATAGCAGTTTTCAGATAAGGATGCACATGAGAGCCTTTATAAATTGTAAAGTTAGATTCATTTGTTAAGCCAACACTTGATCAAAGCCAGATGGGGAAAGGATGCTGAGTGAAATAATAGTAGTAAGTTATTGTTATTATCATCTACATGATTTAAAGCTTCTGCAGCTTTCATTTATTGAGTGTTTAGTATGTACTTTCTATGGATTATGCTAGTAAATTCTACAATGTGGATGAAATCGACACATTCCTTAAAAGATACAAATTACCAAAACTGCATGGAGGTCAAAGCAAGGAGATATTAATTCTCACTTTTTTTTTTTTTTTTTTTACAGGGTCTTTAAATATGACTCAGTGTACAAGTATTTTCTCTAGTATGGTGGTATCATCAGAGCTCACTATAACATCAAACTCCTGGGCTCAAGAGATCATCCTGCTTCAGCCTCCCAAATAACTGGGACTACAGGCATGAACCACCATGCCTGGTTAATTTTTCTATTTTTTTTTTTTTTTTTTTTGGTAGAATCAGGGTCTCATTTTGCTCAGGCTGGTCTCAAACTCCTGGCCTCAAGGAATCTTTCTACCTCAGGCTCCCAAAATGCTAGGATTACAGGTGTGAGCCACTGCACCTGGCCTCCATCATGATTAAAAAACAATGACAGAAAACTATTAATAGAATGTATGTTAGTTTCCTGCTGCTGTAACAAATTACCATAAATTTAGAGGTTTACTATAATAACAATTTATTATTTTGCAGTTCTGGAGGTCATAAGTCTGAAATGGGTTTCACTGGACTAAAATCAAGGGGACAGCAGGGCTGTGTTCCTTCTGCAGGCTCTGGCAGAGAACCCCTTCCCTTGCCTTTTCCAGTTTCAAGAAGCCATCTGCACCCCTTGGCTCATGGCCCATTCCTCAATCGTCAAAGCCAGTAGCATCTTCCAATCTCCCCCTAACTCTGACCCTCCTGCCTCCCTCTTATAAGAGGACTTGTGATTACGTTGGATCCATCTGGATAATCCAAAATAATCTCCCTTTCTCAAAATCCTTAACTTAATTGCATCTGCAAACTTGTTTTGCATTGTAAAGAAACATATTCACAGGTTCTGGGGTTGGGACCTGGTCTTTGGGGGGAACATTATTCTGTATACCACAGAAGGGTACTTTCAACCTGATATAGAGTATCTGTGAAAAATCTACAAATAACCTCATACTTAATGGGAAAGACTGAATTTTTCCTTCTAAGATGGAGAACAAAGCAATAAAGTTTTCACCATTTCCACTCAGTGTTGTACTAGAGGACCTAGTAAGTGCAATAAGGCAAGGGAAAGAAATAAAAAGTATATGGGTTGGAAAATAATATAAATGCCTTTATTCACAAACAACACAATCATATATGTAGAAAATTCTAAGGAATCTACAAAAAAGCTACTAAAACTAAAAACTGAATTTAACAAGGTAATACAAAGTCAATATAGTCTCAGAAGTGTGGCGTAGGGTCTCTGCTTCCTTTTCTTTGTTCTCTTTGCTTGACTCTGGGAGCCCCTTGAACTCTTTAATTTTTTTCTTTTTTAGGGATGGGGTCTTGCTATATTGCCCAGGCTGATCTTGAACTCCTGAACTCAAGTGATCCTCCTGCCTTAACCTCCTGACCAGCCGGGACTACAGGCACACACCAGGATGCAGCTATGCTATGACCCTGAAAAAACTCTGTGGTTGGAAAAGGGCTACATGTCTGAAAATAGGCCCAGAAGGCCAACCAACCCAGCTGAACTAGTGACCAAGACCTTACATCTTTTGCATGGTTTCTTAGCTACCAGACCCTGGCCACTGTCACCACAGTTATTAGAACCAGAAAGAGCTGCTACACTGGGGATCTATTAATAGCCGGTGGGCTCAGCTTTGCCAACTCCGCTGTGGAGACAGCTCACCTCCCAAGGCCACTTGTGGCTGACAACCTCCCTTCCTGGTAGTCTCTGCTGTTTCTTCTCACTGCATGCCTCAGCCAGTTCCCAAAACCTTCTGCTCTCTCCCAGTTTCAGGACATCTTTTTTATTTTTTGAGATAGAGTCTCACTCTGTGTTGCCCGGGCTAGAGTGCCGTGGCGTCAGCCTAGCTCACAGCAACCTCAAACTCCTGGGCTCAAGGAATTCTTCTGCCTCAGCCTCCCGAGTAGCTGGGACTATAGGCATGCCCCGCCATGCCTGGCCAATTTTTTTTTATATGTTTTTAGTTGTCCAGCTAATTTCTTTCTATTTTTAGTAGAGGTGGCGTCTTGCTCTTGCTCAGGCTGGTCTCGAACTCCTGACCTTGAGCGATGCTCCCGCCTCGGCCTCCCAGAGTGTTAGGATTACAGGCGTGAGCCACGGCACCTGACCCAGGACATCTTTTTTAAAATAAACTTTTTTTATTTTTTTAGAGACAGGGTCTCACTATGTTGCCCAGGCTGGACTCAAACTCCTGGGCTCATATGATCCTCCCACCTCAGCCTCCCAAGTAGCTGGGACTACAGGTGCACGCCACCATACCCAGCAAGGACATCTCCTTTATAATTTGGACTGCCTGGGTTCCAATACCACACAGAGCCACATCGTATCACACCCCTGCTGCCCACACTCCCTAGACGTGTCTCTCAGGCACGCTATTTGACCTCTCAGATCTTCATCTGTGAAGGGGGATGATAATTGTCCCAGTGTCACTGGCTTGCCATGTGGATTTGGAAGGTGTGGCAGCTGTTCAGCACAGGGTCTGGCATGTAGCGAATGCCCAGCAACACTCGTCAGGCCTCTGGCCCTTCGCTCGTGCTGCTCCTTTCATACTCTCCCTGCATAACCCCAGCCTGCCTTCTACAGCTCCGTTCTGCTCAGACAACTTCTCGAATGGGAACTTCCCAACTTCCCTGCCTGGGAGATGCCCCAGCTCTGCGCTTGCCAGCAACCAGTGCTCTGTGGCACCAGTGTCCCACTCTGCTGCTGTCTGTCCCTCAACCCACCCCCCACACATACTCAACTGTGAGCCTCCAGAGGGATGGTCCTGACTTATCCCCCCCCTACTCACCCAAGCCTCCCTAATGGCTTTCTCTCTGTCACACCTCACATCCAACCTGACAGAGCGCCCTGCCGGCTGTGGTCAGAACGCACCCAGACAGCGTCCGCGGCAGCTTCCCACCTAGCTTCCCACTTCCACTTTACCCCCTGCAAGCCTCTCTCGCAGCAGGCAAGGGGTCAGGTCATGTCAGACTTAAAATTCGAAGTCCTCTCCCTGGAAAGGCCCTGCCCCCCGGGTGTGCTCCAGGCCTGCGGCCTCCCGCAGCAGACACGCCCGAGGACTCAGGCTGCTTTAGCGTTTCCTCCTGGCCCTTCTCACCCTCGGACGCTTTCTTATTACTTGTTCAGTGTCCACCTTGCTCACTAGACTGTGGGCAGGGA